AACCTGGGCTTAGCTTCTTTTTTGGAAGACATAGCCTTATTGAAATGTAACATTTATCATAAAATTAATGTATTTTTTTTACCAGAGTATGATCCCAATCACAGACTGACTGACCTTGTAAAGTACAGGGAGGATTAGCATCCGTAGACTGGCCACTAGTTGATTAGTTCTTTTGGCAACCCAGAAATGAAGAAAAAAATATCCTTCTGTCTTGTACAACCCTCTTCAATTTTCACTGTGATAATTAAGTGAAATCAATAATTATTTATTTAAGCAACTATGATGTGCCAGATACTGGCATTGAGAATACAAAGAAAAGCAAAAACAGTTCCTATCCTCAAGAAGCTCACTATCTAATGATTGTCATGTCTTTTTTTTTCAGACGTGTTTGACTCTTAATGACTCCATTTGGGGTTTTCTTGGCAAAGATACTAAAATGGTTTGCCATTTCCTCCTCTAGCTCATTTTCCAGGTAAGGAAACTGAGGCAAACAGGGTCAAATGACTTGGGCAGCATCACAGAGCAAGTAAGTGTCTGAGACCAGATTTGAACTCAGAAAGATGAGTCTTCCTGACTTGAGGCTTTGTACTCTATCCACTGCACCACCTACTGTGGTAAAGTAGAAAGAGAACAAATGTGCAAGAATTAAATATTTTCAGATCATTTATAACTATTATAAATCAAAATGTAAGGTTTTTGTCTGATGACCAATGAAATGACATTCACTATTTATCTCTCTCCTTTTGTTTGCCCTGAAATCACTTCAAATATAGCAAATCAAAAATCAAACTCATATTTCTCACCTATGTATTTTTCTCTTTTTCATCAATGGCATTATCATTATCCCAGTTAAATAATTTGAAACCTCAGAGTCATTTTTCACTTTTTCTTCTCCTTTATCTCCTGTGTATGTCATACTGTCATGATAAAATTCTTCCTTTGAAGTACAGCCCCTAACCAAACGTACCTTTTCATTCCATTGTCCTTACCCTAGTTGAGTTTAGTTTAGTTTAGGGGCTCATCATCTTACTAGACTATTGAAACAGCCTCCTTATGATCTCCTTGCCTCCTGTCTGTCACTTTGTCAACCTTTCCAGCCCATCCTTTCTAATTTACCACTTTCATCATATTCCTTCCAGTTCAAAAAGTTATCTTCACCCAATGCTTCTACTTTCTGACTTCAAAATCTCCTTTCAACTCTTTGCTATTTGCAATCTGTCCCCATGACTCTTTTGAAATAACTGTCTCAGGGTTTACCGGATCACCACATTTAATAGCCTTTTCTCAGTCCTTATTCTGTGGAAGCCTTCCAGTTTATCAAAGCCTTCTTAAATGCAGAGTACTCTACAATTCTCTTCCTGTATACATATGTTATTATGGGCTGCTTGTAATTTGATAACTGCCTTTTGCACTATAGGTGGCTGCACTTAGTGGTGGGTGACCTTTTTGTGTAGTTTGAAAGGTTCTTAGAGAACTTTTTGATCTTCAAATGAAAGGAACTATGTAAATATCGCTTATTATTAGCAGGGAAGAATCCAGCTGTGAGTAAAGGATTTTTTAAAAAAATATAGTCAAATTAGTACACCTACATAGAACCAAAAAAAAAACCCCTAGTCCTCATTTGTGAAAGAACTTTAAGTTAATATGGTTGTGGTATACGATATACGCTTGTTGATATTCTAGAGTTGAAATGGCCTATGTGTTCGGTAGCTTGTGCTCACTCCTCCACTCAGACAGGCCAGTATCATCCTATACACAGTTCTCTGAATAAACTGCAGTGAACTACTTTTTTTAACTAGTTAATTGAGAAAGATGAACTCACTGGAACAACATGAAGCCTAAAAGGAAAGTATACAAAAGTATACTGAATGAAAAAGTAGAAAACTAAGAGTACCTGGCCTACCTCTATGAAAACCTACATGACTCTATGACAGGTACGCATAGACAAAAAAGGGAAAAGAACCTATTTGTACAAAAATATTGATGGCTTTTTATGGTGGCTAAGAATTGGAAATTGAGGGGATGCCCATCAATTGAAAAATAGCTGAACTATTTGTGGTATATGATTGTGATGGAATACTATTGTGCTATAAGAAATGAGAAGTAGGATGATTTCAGAAAAACCTTGAAAGGCTTATATGAACTGATGCACAGTGAAGTGAACAGAACCAAAAGAACATTTCACAGAGTAACAGCAATATTATACAATGACCAACTGTGAATGACTTAGCTATTCTCAGCGATACAAAGATCCAAGACAATTCTAAAGGACTCATGATGAAAAATGCTTTCCGCCTCCAGAAAAAGAATTGATGGCATCTGAATACAGACCAAAGCATACTATTTTTTACTCCCTTTCTTTCTTTTTTTTAGTTCAGATTTCCTTCCACAAAATGACTAATATGGAACTGTTTTACATGGTTGCACATGTATAACTTATATCAGATTGCTTACTGTCTCAGGAAGGAAGGAAGGAATAGAATTTGGAACGCAAAACTTAAAAAAAACCTGAATGTTAAAAATGGTTTTTACATGTAATTGGGGAAAAAAATAAATTTAAAAAAGGCATGTATAGAGTGAGGGTTGTGTGTGCTGGCACATCCAGGTTATGCTCTGAAATCAAGACCTGGTGTTACAGAAGAGGTGGTGGTAGAGGAGAAGTGTAGGTGGGAAAAAGGATGACAAATTAGTACCTATGTTTTCAGATTTTTTTTCTCCTCAATTCGGAGTTTATTCTACCTTTAAAATTTTGAGTAGGACAGAAAGAGTAAAGCCCTATCTGAATTCCATTACTTTGGAATGGATAAAAACCATTCTGGAGTACCCCATATCCAATTTTCCTTAACAGTGTACCTCCCCATGTGGTAGGATTGGGTGGTGGTAGTTGGGAAGAGAAGCAGAAAGGGAACTATTTCTGTTTCTGTTGTTTACCTTACTTCAATCTCTACCTTTGCAAAAAAGGCTCAACAAATTCCTATTATATCTGTATACCAGGCAGAGGCTCCAGGCAAGCAAAGCCATGAAAACTCTGTTTCTCATCTCTGGAAAAGTAAAAGCTTTCCCACCTGTTAAATGACTAGTTGTCCTCTATAACAGTCCCAATCTGTCTACTTCCCTGCCTGCTCTATAGCTCTAGGTGAATGACATAGAAAGATGTTTCTAGACTAATTGTCTGGAATCAAAGAATCAAAAATCTTCAGAACCGGAAAGGACCCCAGGGACCATTTAGTCCTGAAAAAAGAATCCTCACTGTCTCTTAACCAGAAAGTGATCACTCAGTCATTGCTTGAAGGACTGTAAAGTGGAAACCTACTACCTTCTAAGACATTACCAAAAGTGGAATCACTGTTGGATAGCTCTGATAGGAAAATTATCTTTACATCAAGCCAAAACATTGCTTTTAGTTCTGCCCTCTTGGGTCCAATAGAACAAGTTTACTCTCTCTTCCTCATAGTAACCCTTCAAATACTGGAAGAAAACTTTCTCTTTTTCTTCTTCCCACCCACAGTCTTTTCTTCTCCAAGATAAGCACCTTGATCCCTTTAATAATAGTAATTTTTAAAAAACCCAACCAAATTAACTACTCATTCTCCACTTCGGACTCACTTTCTTGCCTGCTCCATCTCTGTACCTGCTGCCTGGTCCCTACATGAGATTCTTTTTCACTCTCTCCCTCCCCTTCCAACTCTCCTTTATATTTATTCTTCTTCTATTAGAAAGTAAGCTCCTTAGGAGTATAGACTGCCAGTTTTCTAGTTTTTGTATTCCTAGCACTCAGCACAGTGCCTGACAAATAGTAAGTGCTTAATTAATGCTTAGGTATCTATCTAACCAGTTCTTATCTAGCATGAACTAGAGGTCCTTCACCATTCTTGATCTCTAGACCAAGAGTTATAAACCTGGGGTCCACAGACATTACAAGGATCCTTGGAGAGATTTCAGAGGGTCCATGAACTTGCATGAGAAAAAAAATTAAAACGATTTGCACTCACCTCTAAGCTGAAATTTAGCATATCCTTTAATTATTAAAAAAACCAAACAAACATATTATTCTGGGAAGGGGTCCACAGGCTTTACCAGACTGCCAAAAGCATCCATGATACAAAAAAATTAAGAACCCCTTCTCTAGAAACTCTTCGTCTTATCAACATTCTTCTTAAAATGTGTTGTTTAGAACTGAGTACAGTAATACAGATGAGGTCTGACTAGGGCAATGTACTGTGAGTACCTCTTTATTCCTGGATGCTATACCTCTCAATGAAGTATGATTTTATAGACTTTTTAGTTGCCATATTACAGTATTAACTTATTTTGAACTTTCAGACCACTAAAACCCCATTTATATCTTTTTCAGATAAATTGCTTTTTAGCTACGCAGATAAGTGGCAAATATTTATTAAATACTTACTACATTCCAGGCACTGTGCTAAGGGCTGAGAATGAAAATATAAGCAAAAAGAATGGAAGTTCCAAAAGAGAGCTGAAGGAGGGCAGGGAAGCAATCCAGAGAAAAGGGGGTCAGCATGGTGGTGGATATTCTAGGATAATAGTAATAATAATAATAATAATAGTAGCTGATATTTACATTGTGCTTATTATGTGCCAGATACCGTGCTAAGTGCTTTACAAATATTGTCCCTTTTGATCCTCATAACAACCCTGGGAAGTAGGCACCATTATCATCCCTATTTTACAGTTGAGGAAACTGAGGCATCAGAGGTTAAGGGACTTGTGCAGAGTCAGAGGCCAAATTTGAACTTAGGTCTTCCTGCCTCCAGGTTTGGTGTGCTATCTGCTTGCTATGCCATGCTGAGTCATTGTGGAAAAGTCTAGGAGGAGAATTCAATATGTCACCCACATGTTAAAGTTGTGAGGTTGAATTTTTAAATTGAAATATGAGACTTTACAATGATTACCATTAAGAATGGACAAGACTGATAGATGAAGTGAAAGTATAGATAACACTGTAAACTGTTCTTTTTAACCCTCCCTCCACAACACTGACTGGAAGAGAAGAAATGAAGCAGCGTGTGAAATGTATGGGTTTATGGAAAAAGTGACAGCCGACATTACAGGTAACAGAAGTTAATTACAATCATTATTTAGACTTACTTTAAAGAGGAGTCAACCTACAAATGCAAATCAGTTGCCATCATCATCAAACTGATTTTGAGCAGGAGTGGGTCAAAGATTGTTGGTTGATTGATAAGGGGAAGTGTACCTGTTTCCTAGTCAAGAGCAACAAACTAATAAGGAAATGTGATTTAAATGTGTTTACTACCTAACTACACTATGGTTAGAAAAAGAGGAAGCTAACAGAATGATCCAGTATTTACATTTTTCCCTGTGGCTTTATGATTCATGAGAAAAGTGACACCATCTACAAATGAGATGTTAATGATTCACGACTTGGTGCTTCTCTGGTCTGGCATCACCCACTACAAGTAGACACATGACAATAAAGTTTAAGGCTCTAGGTTCCCTATTTTATTCATTGATTTAAAATCCATTGATAATATAATTCACCACCTTCTAAATGACAGAAAAAAGCAACTTATAATTGTGGTATCAGAAGTGTCTGAGGGACTAAAGTTTTAAACTCAGTAATATGACATATATTCAACAAATATGTATTAAGTATCCACTATGTGCAAAGCATTGTGCTACGCTCTGGGGATACAAAGATGAAGAAACCAGTATTCTTTTTTTTTTTAATTCTTTTTTTTTGGTGAAATTACTTTTTTAAAAATTAATTCATTTTGAATGATCAACAATCACTTCCATAAACTTCTGAGCTTCAAATTTTTCTCCCTCTCCCTCCCCACCTTCTTCCCCAAGACAGCATGCACTCTGATATAGGCTATACATATACATTCCTATTAAACATATTTTCACATTAATGATGCTGTAAGTAAGAATTGGAGCCAATAGGAGGAACTCCCAGAAAGAGGGAACAAAATACAACAGAAGAAAAAAATAGCAAATAGTATGCTTCGATCTGCATTCAAACTCCATAGTTCTTTCTTCCTTGTGGATAGCATTTTCCATCACGATGCCTTTGGAAATGTCTTAGATCCTTGTATTGCTGAGAAGGGTTAAGTCTATCAATATTAGTTATTGCACAGCGTGGCTGTTACTTTGTACACCGTTCTCCTGGTTCTGCTCACTTCACTCAGCATCAGATCATACAAGTCTTTTCAGGTTTTCTGAAGTCAACCTGTTCATCATTTCTTATAGCACAATAGTATTCCATTACATTCATATACCACAACTTGTTCAGCCATGCCTAACTGATGGGCATCGTCTCAATTTCCAATTCTTTGCCACCACAAAAAGAGTTGCTATAAACATTTTTGTACATGTGGGTCCTTTTCCCATTTGTATGATCTCTCTGGGATACAGCCCTAGAAGTGCTATTGCTGGGTCAAAGGGTATATGCACATTTTTATAGCCCTTTGGGCATAGTTCCAAATTGCTCTCCAAAATGGTTGGATCATTTCACAACTCCACCAGCAATGCATTAGTGTTCCAATTTTCCCACATCTTCTCCAACATTTATCATTTTCCTGTTTTGTCACGTTGGCAAATCTGATAGGTGTGATGTGGTACCTCAGAGTTGTTTTGATTTGCATTTAGAAACCAGTATTCTTTGCCTGCAAGGAGCTTATATTATAGTAGAAGAGAGAAAATACAAAGTCTCTAAAACAAAGTAGAACATAAATAGACTAGAATCTAATTGTATAAAGCCATGATAAAGCTTATAATAGGTGTTATTTCTAAATATATACCTTTGTATTTTCTTCCTTTCAAAAATATTTCATTTTAGGGACATGGTCTATATTCTAACCAATAAAGTACTTCTAATTGAGAGCGTTTAGGGAAAGTTTCATGGAAGAAGTGGTGTTTGAATTGAGTTTTGAAAGTTGGATAGAATTTCTGTCTTTTTTTTAGAATTTCAGTAGTTAATAGAGATGGGGTGAAGCAGAAAGAATTTTAAATGTAGAAAGTAGCATGAACAAAGGCATAGAGGTGGAAAATCAGAGGCTCTATTTTAAGGAATAGTGAGTAGAGCAGTTTGGCTTGAGTATAGTATATACATAAGCAATGTGAAATAGAACTGCAAAAAATAGGTTGGAGCCAAATTATATAGAGTGCCTTAATGAGAAGGTTGAGGAGCTTGGTCTTTTTGGGGTTGGCAATAAAAAGCCTTTGGAAGATAGGCTCAAAGATATGAATCAGGAAGATTAAGTTGGCAGTCATGTAGGTAAGATGAATTTGTCAGCCATTTGAGTGATGTGCTTACCACCACCCCAGAATACTTTTACCCCATTGGCCTTACAGTCTTGCTAATTCCTAAACCTGCATATCCTACACCAGATGAGTCAAACACACTGCCAGCAGGCAGTAGCCTGCCTAGTGCTTCCTGAATCAGATCAAAATATAATTGGGAAGTGGCAGCTAGGTGGTGCAGTAGATAGAGCACTGGCCCTGGAGTCAGGAGGACCTGAGTTCAAATCTGGCCTCAGACACATAACACTCACTAGCTGTGTCACTTAGCCCCAATTGCCTCACATATATACATATATATGATATATATATATATATATATATGTGTGTGTGTGTGTGTGTGTATATGTATATGTGTATGTGTATATATTTATGTAATTGGGAAATAACTAACAAAATAAATAAAAAGCACAGTAGAACATAGATAATGTTAATGTGTGGTTTTCTAAGTCAACATATAATCTGCAGAGATCCTTATTTACCATTTAGTGGTCCCCTTTTCTATTTGAGTTTGATACCACTGCTTTATGAATTTCCCTCCCCTGTAGCTCTCAGGCTATCTACCCATTAAACCTGAAGAAAGTCATCAAACTCCTTCAATTTTGTCCAGTATAATTTCATGTATTACATTACATCAGCAGTTTCCTTCCTATAGCTCAGAAATCCTTTATCTCTTGTTGATTTCCTATTAGATTCCAAATACCAACTGTTCCAAGCCTTTTCTCTTTGGAAGTTTGGCACTTTGGCTAAAATTTGGAGGTGTGAGAAATGATGACTAGATGGAATTCAGGAAAACATAGGAAGATTTGTATGAACTTAGAGTTATGTAAGTGGTCCCAGAAGAACAAAGTATGTGACTACAACAATGTAAATTAAAATATCACTAAGAAAACTAAATAATTGAAAAACAGTAATAGTCCTAGAAAAGAGTTAATGAAGCATATTTTCTGCTCAAAGAGGAAGGGGACAAGGACAGAACATTGCTTATGTTATCAGATTATTGATTATTATAAAGTTTCCTAAGTGATCACAAACTCTGGAGACTTTCAGTTCCAGTTTTGTTATTCAAGTAACTGGCTTTATTATGTTAGCACAGTAGCCTGTGTATTGGTGAAAAAATGATTAATTTTTAACTCATTTGAAACTTTAAGAAATTTTCAAAATTGGATTGTTGCAGACTCTCCCCAAACCATAAGTGGTGGTTTCAAGTTCAGACTGCTGGTTTGAAGTTCAAATCTCAGTTTGAAGAAATGCAGTCTGGGCAATAATGCCCTTGTGAGGGAACTCTGAACTAGTCCAGCCATTCTGGAAAGCGATTTGGAACTATGTCCTCAAAGTCATCAAACTGTGCATACCCTTTGATCCAGTGGTACTATTACTAGGTCCAAAGAGATAAAAGAAAGAGAAAAATGAATATGTACAAATATATGTATATATGTATATATATACATCAGTCCTTTGATCAGGAGACTAAGGGCTGCCTATAAATTAGGGACATGGTTGAATAATTATGATATACAAATATAGCAGAATAATATTATACTGTAAGAAACAATACAAAGGATAGTTTTGTTTTAACCTTGGATGTCTTGTATAAACTGAGGCAGAGTGAAGTGAACAGAACCAAGAGAACAATTTATTTAACAACAACATTATAAAGAAAAATAACTGAAAGATTGAAGAACTCTGATAAATTATCAAATATGATTCTAGGTAACCAATGATACAGCATGTTACCTCCTGACAGAGAAATGATGGACTCAAGATAGGAAGTGAGAAATACTTTTTAGATATAGCTAATGTGGAAATTTGTTTTTTCTTGACTTTAGATATTGTTTCAAGGGGTTTTTTTTCCTTGTTTCTTTTTCAAAGGTATGATAGAGAGACTAGAGACAGATGTAGTCCCCTCCTCCCAAAAGAGAACAAAAGGAAGACATAAAGGAATTAATGACAAGCAGGACAGTTTTGAAAGTTACATGTTGAATTTAGTATATATGTGAAAGAAAAGTAAGCTCTACATAATAAATATCTGTAGTGCCATGGAGAATCCTCTCCTGTTCTGCAGTATATAGGAAATTCAAATTTATTTGTTATTCGCAAAATAAGTTTGGAAAAAATAAAAAAAATCAATAGAGGGAGAACTAATTGACTTGCCTTTGGAATATTAGAAAGCTATGATCCCCATGCTTCCCCCTTAAACAAAAGTTTATATAACAACATTCTTCTACCATTGTTTTATATAAGAGCTATACAGGTACTCCTGTATAGCTCTTATATAAAACAATGGTGGAGTGGTGTACTACAATCAGCAACATTGAAGAGAATGTACACACCATATGAGATCACAGATCTTTTTGAGTATTTTCAACAATATTTACCTTCACAGGATTATGAGGATCAAATGAGGTAAGACATTTTATAAATTACACAAATGTCAGCTGTAATTGATTTTTTATTATAATGTGATTTTCCTGGTATTTTGTCATCTTCCTCTTTACAAAAAGGGCTACTATGATTTAAATCTTGTGTTTAGCTCTTTAAGGCAAAGATACTCATTGACTTTTAAAAAGGTGAAGATGATGATTAAAAGTGGAAATAGAGGACCAAAAAAAAAAATGGAAAGCACCCTGAGGAAAGTTATATCAACAGAGTAGATTTTACTTGAATCCACTGGCCAACTGATAAAATTTTGCTCTTTGCCTTTTTGTCCATGGTCCTCACTTTTCACTGTCTTTGGGAGGGGAGAGGGAGAAAAGGAGAAGGTGAGAAAGTAGATAGTTGAGTTTGGATTCTCTAGGTGAAGGAAATTGGAGGGTATGTGTGTATATGTGTGTGCATGCACATAATATCTGTGCTTATGTTGGGAGTGGAACAGAAGTTTTGCTCTACAGTAGGGATGACCAGAGTCAACCTGATAGAGAGGGATGGTCATTTTTTTAAAGTCAATTGGGGTTAAGTGACTTGCCCAGAGTCACACAGCTAGTAAGTGTCAAATATTTGGTCTGAGGTCAGATTTGAACTCAGGTCCTCCTGACTTCAGGGCCAGTGCTCTATCCACTGCGCCACCTAGCTGCCTCGGGACAGTCATTTAAATAAATGGCCAGGTGTCAGGAAACTTGGATTCTACTGCTAGCTCTTCTTATGATCAACTTTGTGACTTTGGGTAAGTGCCTTAAACTTTCTCAACCTCAGTTTTCTCATCTGTAAGAAAAAGGATTTTTATTTAATGGTTTCTAGAGTCCCTTTCCCAAGGGACTTTATCAAGCCCTAACATTTCTGAGGCTCTCTGTCATTGAGATCCATGGATACTCAGAAGAGATTAGGATTACAGTACAAAAAAGAAAAAATGAATGGATAAAGAATTCCCATTGTGTAGATTAGAAGTGTGTGCATGGTTGTGCTTGAGCTCGTGTGTGTGTGTGTGTGTGTGTGTGTGTGTGTGTGTGTGTGTGTGTTTCTTGGGCAGGCATTGCAGGTGGGCAATGGACTGTAATTAAATAGAAAGAAGAGAGGTATGCATTGCATTTGGAGAATTTCAGTTTTATCTATAGTCTCAACTTGGAGCTCGACATATATTCTCCCAGTGGTCCCATGAGGCTATGAATCAGTAATTATCACAATTAAGAAGAATCAAAACTATGGGTGACTCAAAGGGCAGTGGAAAGATGCGTAGTGAGTATAATACTGCAGGAAATAAAGAAGGAGGACATCCACACAGAAATGGAATAAAAGGTATCATTCAGGAAATATATGATTGAAAAAAGAGATATGCTAATCATACAGAAAAATCAAAGGATGGACAGCGTGAGTGCTGCACTGTTCTCACAAAATGTTAAAAGACCTAGAGGAAGGATACTAATGAATTGTGTAGACATTCTTTGAAGGATTTATGAGTTAATGCAAAAAATAATTTCATTAGGCTAAAAAAGTGTGTATAGGTCATGATGTTGTGCCTATATTAATGAGATCATGAATATATTGCAGTACTGAAGCATAAGGTACCTTCCAACTCTTAAAATTCTGTGAGTCTGTGAAGATAAAGTGAAGTGTACTAACCTGCATTCCATGGGCATGATGGGGAAAGTATGAAATAAGAAAAGATGGTCATGTAGCCACAGATTTCTCAATTTTTATCAGAAAAATCCAATTATTTGAACATAGACTATGTTCAAAGCCTATACTTTGTGCTACTGAGTGATACAAAAGAAATAGAAGACACCTAATCCCTTTGATGAGAAAATCTGCCATCCAGCTAGGGATTTGTGGCACAAGCAAAAAAAGATTGTTTCCATCTTAAAGAACCACAAATTCTTAACAGCTGGAAGGGAATTTAGAGATCATCTAGTTTAACCCATACCTGAATAGAAAATCCCTTTATAACATTTCTGACAAATGGTCCTTTAGTTTTTGCTTGAAGACTTCTGAGAGAGGGAACTAACTGTCTCTCCTTCCTTACTCAGCTCCCAGGTAGTCAATCCTATTTTGGGATAGTTTTATTTTTTAGCTTCTTTCTATTTTCAAAAAAGCAATTCTTCAATGGGTAGGGAAGGCATGTCAGTGTTCAGCATTTCTCCCTGCAACTAAAACAAACCTCTTGGTCTTATTTCTGCTTATCTTTCTTTTTTTAAATTAATTTATTTATTTTTAGTTTTCAACAATCACTTCCATAAGCTTTTGAGTTTTAAATTTTTCCTCCTCCCTTCTTGCCTCCCTCCCCAAGATGGCATGCAATCTGATACAGGCTCTACATATACACTCCTATTAAACATATTTTCACATTAGTCAGGTTGCACAGAAGAATGAGAACCAATAGGAGGATCCAAAAGAAAGAAGAAACAAAACAAAATAGAAGAAAAAAAGAGCAGATAGTATGCTTCAATATGCATTCTAATTCCATAGTTCTTTCTCTGGATGTGGATAGCATTTTCTATCATGAGACTTTTGGAGATGTCTTAGATTCCTGCAGTGCTGAGAAGAGCTAAGTCTAGCAGAGTTAGTCATCTTGCCGCGTACAGTGTTCTCCTGGTTCTGCTCACTTCACTCAGCATCAGATCCTACAAGTCTTTCCAGGTTTTTCTGAAGTCCTCCAGCTCATCTTTTCTTATAGCACAATAGTATTCCATTACATTCATACACCACAACTTGTTCAGCCATTCCCCAATTGATGGCCATCCCCTCAATTTCCAATTCTTTGCCCCCACATATAGAGCTGCTATAAATTATTTTTTTGTACATTTGGTTCATTTTCCTATTTTTATGATCTCTTTGGGATACATCTGCTTATCTTTCTGTAAACCTCTGGAGAATGAGAACAAGAATGACAAGAATATGTTCACAATGCTTATAGGTTTGGTAATTCAGAAAAGAGTCTGTTTCAGCCATGGAGTTGGTTCAGATCATGTACATAAATCTCTTCTCTCAGAAAAGTAATGATTCCCTTCTTGTAAGTAGATTTTAAGCTTCTTGAGAGCAGGGTGTCACTTTGAGAATAAGGCCTCAATTTAAGCTTCCTGAGAACAGGATCCAAATTCATTTTTATTTGTCTTTAGCATGAAAGTTGGCTTAGCAAATCTTTATTATAATAATGGCTAGCATTAATTTATTGAAGTTTCCAAAGTACTTTGCAAATATCTCATTTGATCCTAACAACACCCCTGAGAGGTAGATGCTATTATTTTTCAAATTTTACACTTGAGGAGACTGAGACTCAGATAGATTAAGTGACTTAGCCAGGGTCACACAGCTAGTAGGTGTCTGAGGCTGAATACGAACACAGGACTTCCTGACTTCAAGTCTCATACTCTATCTACCATACAGACTCGCTGTGTTGTTGAGGTGAATTAAGCTGACACAAATTGAAAGAAAGGAAGACTTTAAGGTATACTACAGAGCCTTTTGCAGACATGATCTCATTTAATCCTGACAACAGCGCCATGAGGTAGGTTACGAAGATCCATTACACAGATGAGAAAACTGAGGCTCAGATGGGTTAAGTGCATTGCGAAGGGTCATATAGCTGATAAGTTTTGGAGATGGGATTTGAACCCTGGTCTCCTGATTTCAGGTCCAGTAGAGCGAGACTGTACAGAGGGAGAAACCAGCTATGCACGTTGGGAACATCGGGCATGATCTTCATCCCATCAGCAAGAGGGAAGCCGTCTGTCCTCAAAAGCCTTCGCCTCCACTACCAAGACAATTTCAGACCAATAAGCGCACTGTTAATTCAATCCAACTCCAGCACCCAGTTTTGCGGGGAATTAGTAACCTAGATTCTGCCCTTCTGGCGAGCGCTGTCCATGGTCCTCGTTCTGCTTCCTCCATCCTTCACTCATCTTTCCAGGCAGCAGAAGAGGAACGACCGCGCCAGCGGGGGTGCCCGCGGTGCAGATGCCCAGGCCCTCTCGGGCAGGTTGCCGTAGAGGGTAATGGTTTCTGCTACTGCACCTGTTTTGAATCTAGGCGCGTGCCAGGGCGGGGGCTGGACAGGCTTGGGGAGGGGTGGATGGTGGAGGGTGAGAGGGGAAGAGGGAAGGCGGGAGGAGGGGGATAGTCACGTGCTGGCAGCGGTCCTTGGACGATTCCATTTTCTCACCCCCCCTTTTTCTTTACTCTCCTCCGCCCAGCCCCCAGCCCTGCCACCCCACCTGATTCGCTCTCCCTGTCCCCTTGGCTCGGAGATTCACGCTCGTTCTGTGCCCCATCTTCGCTCCTTCGCTCTTTCTCTTCCCCGAACTCCGGCGCCTCTTTCCCTTCCCCTCACACCCCCACCACGCAGTTGGTGCGGTCCATGGCGAGCACATCATGGCGATTGAGGGTAAGTAGAGGCCGCTCCCCGGGGTGTAGAGGAGGTCAGGGAACGGGAGGCGGGGAGGCGGGGTGGGGGGTGAGGTGAAGTGTATTCTCTAGGATGCGACAGGGATTTGGGCATCCCCAAAGGCCGGGGAACAGAAGAGGTGAGGCGAGGCGAGGGGGCCGGAGGGGGGGAAATGTCCCGACTAAGAGCGGCCCCCCCCAGTCCCGCCTCCTCCTCCCTCTCCTCCCCTTGTTTCTCTCAGGTGCAGGTAGAGGGAGCGGGGCGGGGCTGAGGGGCCCGGGCCGCCCCCTCACCTCTCTGGCCCGATCCTCCGCGGAAGCTGGGGTAGAGGCCACCAGCCTCCTCCCCGATGCCGGTGCGGAGTTTTGCCCCGGGTGCCGCAAGGCAGAGAGAACCCCGGAGACTTGGGGGAGGGAGGCGAGTGGGGCGGGGGCTCCTGGATCCACCTGCCCCTCACAGGCCAGTGTCCTGAAGGCCCTTCCTGGCCGCCCTGAGGAGGGCTGCTGAGTGAGCCCCGGCTGGACGTCCCCGCCTGGAAATGCTGGGCTGCCCTCCCTTGTGAACGAGACTTTATCCTCGCCTTGTTTTTGTGTGTGTGTGTGTGTGTGTGTGTGTGTGTGTGTGTGTGTGTGTGTGTGTGTGTGTGTGTGTGTGTGTGAGTGTGTGAGAGTGTGAGAGAGAGAGAGAGAGAGAGAGAGAGAGAGAGAGAGAAAGAGTGTGTGAGTGATTTATCTCCTCAGGCAGTTCATTCTTGAGATTGTTCCCTACTTCTGAAAGAAGTCAAATGAATTCACTCAAAGCTTCCCTCTTTGGCATGTTGTCTTGCCTCAGTTTTATTTTTTAAATGAGTAGTCGTTGATATCAGACATTACTGTCATACTCTTCAGTGAAAAGTTAATGCATAGGTAGTTGGCATTAAGGCGGTTTTTTTTCTCCTTTCAAAGAAAATCCGGTCTCTCAGGCGAGAGAGAGAGAGAGAGAGAGAGAGAGAGGAGAGAGAGAGAGAGAGAGAGAGAGAGAGAGAGAGAGAGATTAATCTCCTCCATAGTTCACTCTTGAAATTCTTTACTTCTCAAAGAAGTCAAATGAGTTTTGTCTTAGCATCCCTCTTTTGAATGCCGTCCTGCCTCAGTTTGTTATTGTTTTTGGGAGAAATGAATGATTATAGATTTCTGACAGGACTTTATGCTTTTCAGTGAAAAGTTAATGCATTGCGTAGTTGGCATTAAGGGATGTTGATTTTTATTTTTAGTTTTCCTCCATTCAAAGAAAATCTAGTATGAGTTAAAGCTTCTGTTTTCCTTAAACATTGAGTACAGCAAGGAAAGCCAACAAGCATTTATTTATCGTCTGCTATTTATTGCTAATCAACATGCTAAGCCAGGATTCAAAGAAAGAAAGAAAGGAAAAAAGGCAAAAAAAAAAAACCCAGTCCCTACTTTGAAGGAGTTTATCATCTAATGGGGAACGCAACATGAAAACAACTATATATGTATATGTTTTGTACACACACACACACACACACACACACACACATAAAAAGGATAAATTAGAGATAATCAGAGAGGGAAGAACAGAATCTGAAACTGATTTGATAGGTCAGAGGCATTTGACAATACAACAAACATTCAGTGCAAGAATAGGAGCTTTTTCAAGTTGTAGTTTCTCAAGGAAACCATAACACCGAAAACTTGTGTTTGTGTCTCCATGTCTGTATTTCAGTAGTATACGTTTAAATTCCAGAATCTTCCTTACAAATCAAAACTTTTTGAAGACCCTTCCTGGCAAATTCTCTGTCTCCAGAAACCAATCCAGATAAGCATTTATTAAATCAAATTTTGTATATATTGCAATGCTAGATACAGATATAAAAATAAAACAGTTCTTGCCCTCAAGGAGTTTATTTTTTTAAACAGGAAAGGAAGCATTTCTTTACAAAGAAAAGGATGTACATTTGAAGGGACTCACATGTATGGTCTGAACATACTCCGTGGATATAACAGGAAACTTTTCAAATTAGTGTCCTATGAACATTGTGAGCATAGTTTTGCTAGTTGTGTTCTCAAATTAATTTGGGACTCTCATACCCAGACAGTGTAGTGAGAAGCAATGTAACGGATAGGGTTGTTTTTGTTTGCTTCTGTGAACTTTAATAGCTGATTTATTTATTATTTGTCTCAGTTTCCTCAACTATAAAATGGGGATAATAACAGCATCTACCTTTCAGAATTATTGTGAGGATCAAATGAGATAATCTTTGTGAAGCACTTAGCACAATGTCTGGCACATAGTAGGTCCTATATAAACGTTAGCTATTACTACTATCATGGTCATCATCACCTAGTTCTGTGATTTAATTGGCATGGGTAACTACTGATGATTAAATATCCTCTAGCAATAAATATCTTCAACACAAAACATGTATATATGTACATATATATGCATATAAATACACCCTCACACATTACAAATATATTCATTCAAATGGTTGTCAGATATCCATGGTGATAACACTCCTAAGGTTGTGTTAACTAGTTTGGAAAATGTGCCTAGAAGTAAGTGTGTGTGTTTTTGTGTGTATAAGCATACACACACATATATATGTATACATACACACATACATACACATATATCTTTTCATTAATCTTTTTTAAAAGCTAGAACTACAATCAAGTAGCTAAATTTATTGATTTAAATATTATTTTCCTTGCAGACCCACTCAATAAAGTGGTCAGAAGTCTATAGACAAAGCATAGACAAGGGATTAATCATTGACAAGATAACCCTAGAATAGTAAAGAACTGACTACATAGAGTTTTAAAAGTAATTGTCATTTTCCCCTCTTCCTAACATTTCCCACTCTCCACCCTCTTTGATTTATTGCTCTTTGGTAGTTAGGTTCAATTCATCTTTCTTATTACTGACAAATTTCTGAATTTGGCTGCTTAAATAGTTACTAAATCACTTAAATAATTACTAAGTTTTGTTTTGCCTCTCTACCTTTTATGCTTTAGCAAAAATATCCTTTGTTCTTGCGGTCTAGAGACTCAGATTGTGAGACAAGCTTATAAATACTGTCAGTCTGTCACAGGCAAATTACTTCATGATATCAAAATTAAGAATTGTAATTATTATTTTTTCTGCTCTGGAAGGAAAATAGCATTTAAAAATCTTAGCATTTAGAGTAAGAATTGAGTATCAGGCCAAGTGAGACCAAGGTTTGATTATTAAATATTTATATTTTTATACACAGATACTTAGTAGGGTATCATGAAAAGAGTGTTGGACTAAGATTCAGAACACTTAGGTTCTAGTTATAGAATCAGAATGTTAATTTAATTGATTTGAATGAAGTTGGAAGAGATTTTAGAATACATCTAGGCTAACTTCCTGTTCTGTATAAAAGCTGTGGTCAGTCAGCATCCCTAGATTCTTGTGATATGAATTTTTGACAAGCCAGTTTTCCTCCATCCTGTAGTTGTAGTTGTTTTTGTTTTGAACTAATTGAAAAATTTTTTTTAATCTTTCAAGTTTCATCTTCTTTGTTTTGACCCATTGTTCTAGACCAGCAGTATCTATAACTTGGCCATAATATTCTCAGTGTAGCCAGAACCAGATTAATATGTAATTGGGAAATGTTTAACTAAATAAATGAAAATACATTAGAACACAGAAAATGTTAATATGTGGTTTTCTAAGTTAGTATGTGGCAAGAAAGATCTTCCTATATAATTTAGTGGGGCCTGATTTTTTTTCTTTTGAGTTTAGCACCACTGTTTTAGACCATTGAAAGAATTTTCATTCCTGATTCTGTTATCCTAGCGTATTAGCTGTTCTTCCTAGCTGTGTGTCATGCATATATTTGGTAAGCAAAACTTTTCTGTTTTCATTAAAGGGATTTATAAAATTGTTGAGCAGCATAGGATTAAGGACAAAGTTTTGTTATATGATACTAGAAACTTTCCTTCAAATTGAATTGATCCATTAATCAATACTCTGCATATTCAACCAACTGCATACACATATACCCAAATTGTGTTGCTACTCACTCTATATTTCTCTGGCATGTTCCTAATGATATTGTTTTGTCGTAAGCCTTGCTGAAATCAAGGTAATATTGCCACTACCTAGCTGGATGACTTTGGGTGAGAAACAGTTTGATGTCATGGAAAGAACACTGACTTTAGAGCAAAGGACCTTGGTCGCATTCCTGGCCATGCTGCTTTACTCTGTGGAACCTCCAGCAAGTCACTTAACCTCCCAGACTTTTAGTTCCTTCATCTTTTGATGGAGAATGAAGAGGGTTGGAGTACATGACTTCTAAAGACCTCTTCAATTCTATCTTCCATAAAATAGCATTTCCTACCAAAATAGAAAAGAGAATAATTATAATTAACTTCCCTGGGCTTCAGTTTGCTCATCTGTGAGAAGAGGATTTTGAACTTGAATCTCTATTTCCTCTAAAATGCTATAATGTTAAGGTGAAATTAAGAGTTCTAAGAACAGTTAGAAATGTTTAGTTAGAAGGCCCAGTAAAGTGCTATAAATACTGTAGTTGTGTTGCTGATTTTAGAGATTCACAGCTTTACATATTCTAATAAGAAAAAT